AGGACATGAATAGTAACACAACATCCATGTTGAAGATTGGAGGACATGAATAGTAACACAACATCCATGCTGAAGACTGGAGAACATGAATAGTAACACAACATCCATGCTGAAGGCTGGAGGATGTGAAAGGTAACATAACATTCATGCTAAAGAATAAAGGTTCCTACATGACCTGTTTGACAACACTCCCATGTAGCAGTAGGATATTTCAATGCCAGACACATCACCTAAGATGCAGATGAAAATACTAATAACAAACATTGATATTAGTTTATCCACAGTATAGTCTTACTATACTGCTAAACTCCGGTGAACCAACTACAATCTCCGAGAGTCAAGGTGACAAAGTCTTCTGTATAGACCTTGCTGTTGATATCCATACCTTGAGTGACATCTCTGCCAAGCATGGGAGATACAATTACAAGTGAAGCCTGAAAGATAAAATGATATAATCTGGGAACTCATACAAGGAAGTCAAACTTTCTAGCAGCTCTTGTTTATCCAGGCAATATACGAATTCCACACTCCTGATACACTAGATAGAGGGAGCTAGTTAACAATTCTTGGATTACTCATCTTAACAAGTAGTGAGATTTGACTGTCACTCCTATAGCACACTAATAGCCTCAAAATGCAGACAGCATTTTTCAGTAAAAGGATGCAAACCATGGATTCACAGTTGGAATTCTAACTACTAGACCACACCCATCATGTTGAAGGTATTATATTGGTTCCACAATAAGACGACAATGAAAACTCATAAAAGGACAGCCACACCCATCATGTTAAAGGTATTATATTGGTTCCACAATAAGAAGACAATGAAAACTCATAAAAGGACAGAGTAATCCAAGGTCTAAAGACAATTCAAGAATTGTACAACACACACTAGCTAATTACGACATGGTCGTGTCTCAATAATTGTCAAAGATCATTATAAACCCATAGAATGAGACACTGAAAAATAAACGCCCCTGATTTGGCATAAGAAGCCAGCTTTGAACAACTTTAAAAATGCCACAGAACTTTTAATAGACATTAGAAACACTGCAGTATAACTACAAAAAAATAATAATTAGTATTTCAACAAATAAGCACACAGTCCAAAAAGTCAAAAATCAAGGATTTAGGGGTGTAGGATTCCCCTAAGGATGTTCAGGAACTAAGGTCCCTCTTGATCAGTTCTTGAAATTTTAGTGAAGGAAATGTAGTTAGGGTTTAAAATTACGAGAAGGGTTAGCAGGGGTCTTTGTAGATAGATTTTGATAGTGGGTAGTGTCAGGGGTTATTATGAAAAAGGTCAGAGAGCAAGATGTAAGCAATAAGGAGGAGAGTTCAGTGTTAACTATCTGATCTCAGTTGTAGTCCTTCATGGCATAAATTCCAGAAATATCCATTTACCCCGATGAAGGAAAGTCCATTTTCCAAAAGTGCTAAAGTTAACTCTTTCAGCACAGGCTCGGTCCCATGGATTGACCTCATAACCATTTTGTGCTTGTTATAGTTCTCATGCTATAACTTTTAAATTAGTAAGCGAATGTTAACGAAATTTTCACTATCAAATCTCTGTATGGATTCAGTAGATTTGATCGATCTCATAATCACCATAAAAAATTTGGAAATAAATATAAATGATGTTTTTTTTCTAGAATAACTACAAATTATAACCCGACAACACAAATGTTTAGTCTAAATAGCTTAAAAGTCATAACATTAATCATCTATATATATATATATTATTTATT